TCTTCTTGCCTCACTATCTCCCTCAATTTATTTCTTATCTTCCTCCTTTCATTTACTAAAATCCTTTTTGAAGGAATAGGCTACTTTCTACGTCTACTTTCTCAATTACATTCACTCTCTAAACCATTTTATCTTTCATTCTCTTTAGTTAAGTGAAACTGCCATACAAATGTCTACAATGATTCCTTAACTAAAAACTACAATGGCCTATTTTTCAGACTGCATTTATGCAATCTCTGCTACTATCTTCCTGTCATCTGTGAGGCTTGCTCCTTTGTTGGCTTCTAAAAATCTCTCCTGCCTCTTCTTCCAACTTCTCTGAATATTCTTGTTTGGTCTGTTTTATTAATTCCTACTCCTCTTCACACATCTTACATGCTGTCCATCAGCTTTCACCCTTGGTTACATTTTCAGTAACCACCATGTTTTTCATGTACATGAGCATTCTGGTTTATCTCCTGCACTTTACTTGACCAACACCAACCTCATTCATTCTATCTCCTTCAAAACCAATTAAGGAAAACACAAAGAAAAAAATTTCTGTTCTTCCATTTCATAGCTGCACTAACAATATAGATTAGTATTATCACAGTTCCCTAAAATTTTTAAGGGTTATTTATTATTATTATATCTTTCACAACCATCGCATCAAGTCCTGTTTCAAAATTCCCTATTCTCCTTCTCGTTTGCAAAGCCTTGACACAGATCTCTGCCACTGCTTTCCTGGCAAGAGTATTGTCACTTGCAATTCAACCATCAGAGGATTTTTCCAAATATCTCTCTATATATAAAACCCTAATATGCAAGTAGACCAAATTGTGGAATAACTAACAACCAGTCGCTATGATGTGCACTGACCACCAGGGGGCACACATGGAACGTGGCGGGTGTCGGCCGTGGTGGGGTGGTGGAGCAGGTGAGCGGGGGTCCAGACCATGGCGGGATGCTGGTCACTGTCATCGGGGCAAGCCTCTGGTGGTTACTGAAAATTCTTTACTCCTGCATGCTGCAGTCCCACCTGGCACTCACACCTGCTGCTGGTGCCGGCCCCACTCGCACCTGCTGCCAGCTCCCGGCACTGGCACTGGTCCCAATCACTCGGCACCTTCAGTGGGTGTGAACGGTGTCTGCCAGCCCTGATCACCCCTGAGGGTTTCTCCACCTCCCCCTGCTCCTGAGGGGTTATCAGGGCAGCAGCCACCACTTGCACCTGCTGCTGGCACTGGCCCCAACCGTTCCCCACCGTCAGTGGGTGTGAGCAGGGCCAGCGCCATCAGCCCATGGGAGTGTAGTGGTGGGAGCAGGGCTGCCAGCAGACAGGGGGCTGGGGGAGAAGGGCCAGGGGGTGCAGAGGATGGGCCGAGACCCACCCCTGTGCCCACCGCAGCCTCGTGGCCCCACGGTTCCTTTCAAGGTCCACAAATTTGTGCACTGGGCCCCCAGTATGAATATAACTTTGTCAGTTACCTATATATCATCCTTCTTTGACTTTTTGTTACTCTGTGAAAAACTTTTCATCATGCTACATAAGGGAATTCACAATCAGCTTCTAACATGTCTCTCTCTCTCTCTCTCTCTTTCTCTCTCCCTCTCTCTCTCTCTAACGTATTTTTATTGATTTCAGAGAGGAAGGGAGAGGGAGAGAGTGACAGAAAAATAATGATGAGAGAATCATTATTCCACTGCCTCCTGCACAACCCTACTGGGGATCAAGCCCACATGTGCCCTGACCTGAAATTGAACCATAACCTCCTGATTCACAGGTCAATGTTAAACCACCTGAGCCACACCACCCAGTTCTAACATGTCTCTTACCTAGAGCAACATTCCCTGTCCTGTAACCCAGGCTCCACTCACATCCTATTTTCTCTATTTAAAATGCTTTTTTTTCTTTTCTTTTTCAGGAAAATTTCTATTTTAACTTAAAAATTCAAATGTTAACTCTCTATGAATACTCTCTTCTTCCTTATAAAGTCTTAATTATTCCTCCTTTGTATTTCCACCATACTCTGCTCATCCCTTTTTAATTGCTTTGTATGGTATTTTCATTTTATTTTACTGGTTACTTTCCCCCAATAGAATGTGAGGTCCTTGAAGTTATGTCTTTTTTAACTTTAAGTATGTCTGCATAATGCAGTATCTGATAATACTTTTCCCTCAATAATATTTGCTGAATGAATACATAAATATTATCATCATTATAAAGTAATCTATTTTTCCAGTTTTTCTGGCAGAAGTGCAAGACTTTAATTCACCTAAAATGCAATGAAGTTATTTAGCCATGTGTTTAAAACATGACAAACTGGGACAAAGTCATCATATTTACTCTACTTAAAATTAAAGACCATTCTCAACCACACGAATTCTATCAATAATTGAGGAAAGAGTTGAAATAAATTTATAATTCATTCTATAATGAGATCATAGGCTTTGGAGCATAGACATCTCTTTGCTGTGGAATCAGCAGTATATATCAGATCAATAAATGCAAAAAAATTCCTACCTTGTTCTTAATTGACTTTGCAGAAAGATGAAATTGTATAGCAATATTTAACAGAGCTGATATACTTAAATTGTTCTGATTTCTCATGAAAGGATATGAGATTGAAAGACCAAATCTTATTCATTTGGATATCTTAAACATCCATATGGAATTATAAGATATCTAACAAATTATGGGCTATTAATATTTGTCAAAAGGTTATCCTTTTTGAAAATGTGATAAACTCTCCTTCAATCCATACCTCACAGATAGATTATTTGTTTTATTCATCTTTAAAGGTCAGGGCTGATGAAGTGACATGGAATATGAGGAGTTTAATGAATGTTTATTCAGTCTATAAAAGAAAGGAGAAGTGAAAGTAATTACATTTTATATGTAAGTAAACATGTATCCTTCAAATTAAGGTGTCAATATTTTTGGTCCCCAAAGATCCTCTCAGGTAGCTTTTTTCACTTCAACTTTTATTTCAATAATTTGGTCAACAAATATTGAGTCCACATTATGTTCGGTGAAATAATCCAGTTACATAAAATAAATACTGTAACTCCAGAAATGTCCTGCCAAGTTCACAGTTAAACTGTCATGCAAATATAACTACATATAAAATGAAAGTGCTGGATGATACAGACAATAAACCTGAAGCACCATTGTTTTCAGTGGTGTACGTAAAGAAGTGGGGAGGTTTTAAAGTAAACAGGATGTGTCATATTTTATTTCCTATTGATTGGGGGTTTATAGTATACAGAAAAGAAAAAATGATAAATAAAAATAAAATAGAGTGAAGAAGAAAGGAAGAATAGCATTAAGTGTTTGAGGTAAGATCTCAGTTCTAATGCATCTACTCACAGCTCTTGAACACCCTATACAAGTTTGTACCTTTTATTTTTGCTTATAGGCACCCTAATCTAGGCTGTCCTTTTCTGTCTTTCATGCTATCAAAATCTTCTCATTCATCAAGACCCACTGGAATGCTACCTCTTCCATGAAGCTTTTCTCTTCATCCACTGTAAAAATTAACCATTCTTTCTTCTGTGTGCTCACATGTTTTATCACTTTCTCTTCCTAAATGTGCTTTCCAAGCCTTGTGTCATGTTATTTGATAAATAAGATCAATTAGACCTATATGACACATGACCTTCCTCTTTCCAGTTAAGTATTGTGTTCAATCAAAATTAGTATCATTGCCCTGGCTGGTTTTGCTCAGTGGATAGAGCGTCGGCCTGTGGACTGAAGGGTCCCAGGTTCGATTCCTGTCAAGGGCATGTACTTTGGTTGCGGGCACATCCCCACTAGGAAATGTTCAGGAGGCAGCTGATGGATGTTTCTCACTCTCTATCCCACTTCCTTCCTCTCTGTAAAAAAAAATCAATAAAATATATTTTTTAAAAAAATTAGTATCATCCGTCATACTTTCAATGACAAACATAAATTTAAAAAAAAGAAAAGAAAAAAATTAGTGTTGAAAATGGTCACTGTGAGGAACAAGAACATTGATTATTCTAGAAATTAAAACATTTGATTTTGCAATGATTACATTAAAACAGAAGAGATGTTCCCTGGCCAGGTGGCTCAGTTGGTTGGAGTGGCATCCCATACACTGAATGGTTAGGGGTTCAATTCCCAGTCAGGGCACTTACCTAGGTTGTGGGTTTGATCCCCAGTAGGGGTGCAGAGTGGGGGACAACCAATTAATGTTTCTCTCTATATATTTCTCTCCCTCTCTAAGAGCAATAAAAACGCATCCTTGAGTGAGAATTAATAACAATAATAATAAGAGATTCAATAACATTTTTAAACATTGAAGTGATGTGTTTCAGATAAGAATTGTCATTTTATTTACATAGGAGTCGCTGTTCCAACGGGGCAGAGAGCCTCCTTCCTAAGAGAGATTCTTGATCCAGACATTCCCCTCAGAGACAGATAAAGATAGAAATATATACATATATATTATTATTATGAATGTATATGTACATTTTATGTATGTATGCATTTGTATGTGTATATGTGTGTGTCTATTCATATCCCAGACATATAATTCATCCCTTCTGGAATATCCACACCTGCCTAATCTCATGCCTAATAATAAAAATCAATCAAGAGTTAGGAAGATCAGCCCTGGCCAGGTAGCTCAGTTGGTGACAGCATCATCCCAATATGCCAAGGTTGTGGGTTTAATACCAGGTCAGGGCACGTATAGGAGGCAACCAATAAATGCATAAATAGTGGAACAAAAAAATCAGTCTCTCTCTCTCTCTCTCTCTCTCCTTCCCTCTTTCCTCCCCTCCCTCTATTTATTTCCCTCAAATCAATCAATCAATAAAAAGAGCTAGGAAGATGGAAAGAAAGATTCTTCATCATGGGGCAGCTTTCTTGAACATCTTTCTGGTGACTGACTAAGACAACCTTAACATTCCCCTCAGCTTAAATACATTTGTACAGGCTTCTTCCTGACTGTAGGCTCCTGACCTCCCTTCCCTTAGATCATTTGTTCATTTACTTTGGAAAATGTGTCATTGTAAATCTTTCTCTGCCCCTTGGAGATGAAATCTTCTTCATTCTCTTGCTGGAAGCCATCTCTTTTAAATGTAATCAGGAAAGATAGTGAGTACCTCTATCACCTTCATCTCTGTGGGAAGAGAAGAGTCTAACGTAGATAAGTGGCAATTAGCAAACAGAGATGGTCTGATCACATTGGAAACTTGTCCCTACCATACTCCAGTGCTTTTCCATTAGCTTACCCAGTGCTTATAAACTCGCTGCCTTTTGTTTCAGTGAAATTGAGTTCAGTTCCTCTCCCCTATCTCAGTAGTCTTGACCCCTATTGCCGTCGTCTTGAATAAAGTCTTCCTTGCCTGTTTAACTTGTCTGGTGCAATTTTTCTTTGACATGACAAGCTGAGCAAGCTAGTGCACTGCTGTGGACCATTTAAGCACAAGTTTCCATGTGTCATCCTCTATTGCTCTTTGATAAAAGTTAAACTGGGATGACAGGTTGTTAATGTTCCCCACCTCTAGGATCCACCGTCATATGCAAAGGATAAGTGGAAGAAAAGAAATCACACTGATAGCTTCTGGGGATTAAATTCAATTGAAGAAATAGTCTTAAACAAGTTAATGGAAATTACTTCCATTTATTAGTTGTGTTGCACTTCTCTAACTTTTAACAGAATTCAGCTATAAGTATAATCATCATTTTTATTATAATACTGTAATAATTGTTCATATCCAGGTATGAACAATTATTACAGTAAAGTAAGTTTGATTTACTCCTGGCTGGTTTTAATAGTTTAGAGAAGAGAATGGCATGATTAATTTATCTAGACAGCATAGCATTGTGACATTTTAGCCTGTTCATGTATCTACAAATTAAAATAAGTACAAAACCATCTGTGGCTGCCCTTGAACAAGTAGCGTATCCACACTTCTAAAATGTATTTTTCAACCATGACATTATAATATTCTACCTAGTTTATTTTCTTCCAGGGTCTACTGTATCAAACAAAGAATAAATAGTAATTTATGATAATGTGTCACTAATAATTACCAGGGACTTTTGGGAGTATAGGGGTAAAACCAACATAGAAGATGGAAACAAAATATATTCAGAGTGACATTCAAGAATTCACAAGACATGTTATCTGAATCATTATATAGAATGCATTTAACTCAGATATTCTCCTCTTTTAAATCATTGTTTGAATGCTCTCCCTTTGGACATTTCAGGATCATTTAGCTACAAGCTACATACAGAAGTGACAATTTTTGATGTATTGCTTGTGGTGCAAAGAAGGTAAAATATAAAGAAATTTGGTTATTCCAGTTTGGGAAAGCAATCCACAAAAGATTGTCTATACTTCTCATTTAAATTATATATTTAAACAGGACTACAAACAGGATTCTAGATGGGATTAGGCTTTTAAATTTTTAATTGTATTTCTTTTAAATTCAAGGTAAGTTCTCATGACTGGTCTTTTATCTTCTCATCGTTAAATGCTAAAGACATAGGCCAAATTCAAGTGAGTGCAATTTTTAAAATCAGAACCAAAGGAAAATACATGCCTCAGTCATAACAGTAATAACCTCTGTGTAGTGGAGTAGTAGGAAATGTTATATTTCTTTCTCTTTAGTAATTTTCCTGTGTTAAATATGTATCCATTGTGCAATAAAACCTAAACATGCTCCAATAAGTTAGCAGAGAGTTATTCATCAAAAAATTTATGAACACATTGTAATCGTTTCTAATAAGACTCATTTACATTGTCAGCTTCCATTCAGTACGTAATATATTAATCATCTTGGTTAAAGTTACTTTTTATACTAGATTATACAAGGTCACATTATTTTCTACAGAAAACAGAGCGGAGCAGCTATTTGAGACACCGTGCTCAGACATTACTTTGAGTTGTGCAAAATGAGGGTAATTTTTGAATATCAACTAATGATTCAAAAGTGGCTTGAGGTCTCACCATGGTTCTCCACTGTGCCCAGGATGAAATTAAACAGTCCCCACAAGGGCCCACAGATTGTAGGTATTATAATGACGATAATAAAAACAGGTGCTAACACTAATTGAATACTCTGTTTCACGTTTCATACTAAGTGCTTTGCAAGAATTAACTCCCGTTCTCTTGAAAACCGCCCTCTGCTGTGGGTCTTATTATCCCCTCTTTTCAGGTGCAGACGCATGTCATGTGTCTGCCAGGAGGAGATCACAGTGGTTCCGTAACCATTTTTTTCTCTCGATGATTTGCCAGCTTGGACCATGTTTACAAAATGAGGAACAAAAGATGAGCTCTTAGAAAACATTTTTTTTTAATGAGGCTAACAGGTTATTGACTTCTTCAATTTATTAACAGGAATATGTTAAATTACATAGTATTTCACAGTTCACAAATCACTGTAATATGCATAAATTCATCTACTCCTCACATGAACTACATGCAAAAGGAAGTATTTTACAGATGAGATAACTGAAACGTAAGTAGTGTCCAGTGGTTGTACAACAGAGAAGCAAAGAGCTCACACTCAAATCCCCATCCTACTGACTTCTGTTGGTCTTTTCTCTCCATTAAGGTTTAATATTAACAATTCTCTCTAATTCATTATATTATTATCAGTTACCAAGAAACAAATGAATTACAGTTTCGGAATAAAGTAAGAGGGTTCATTAGATTGCTCTACTTATCAAAAGTAAGTCAATGGGCCCGGCCAGTGTGGCTCAGTGGTTGAGCATCAACCTAAGAATCAGGAGGTCACAGTTCAATTCCCAGTCAGAGCACATGCCCGGGTTATGGGCTTGATCCCCAATGTGAGGCATGCAGGAAGCAGCCAATGATTCTCTCTCATCATTGACGTTTCTGTCTCTCTTTTTCCCTCTCCCTTCTTCTCTGAAATCAATAAAAATATGTATTTTTTTAAAGTAAGCCAATGGCATCTTGTTGAAATCACAATGAAGCAGATGACACCTCCTCGTCTCTCCCATGGATCCACGGTCTGGCAAGGCTTTGGAAACTGGAGAAGTCACACTAGTGCCCAGTGGACAAGGCAGAGACCAAGCTGCCAGGGCAGCTTCTCCTCAAATACTGAGCTAAGCATGGCATCAGCCAGGATGGGGAAGTTTACTTACTTTTCCATGTTATGCACATTCTAAGATTAACTCTGTGACATCTGCAGGCTAAAGCTCCAATGATGCATTTCAACCACAAACTGTAAGTTTCCACTTTGTCTGTTGGGTCTGAAAACTCAGTGTGAAGCTAAACAGCAAAGAAAGCCATTTGGGGGGTTGCTGGACAGGCGTGAGGCGGAGAGTGGGGCTGCAGTGACCTTTCAGCCCCACTGAAATCTCACAGTAATCTCTCACAGTCATCTCTCCAAAGGGCCTTAAACGGCTTAGGGTCAAGGTCTGTTCCAAATTCAGTCCA